ATGAAAGCAATTTATGGTGGAAAGCAAACAAGTTTGGTTCTGCCCACAGTTCAAGGTTATAGTTTATCAACTAGTTGTGAGCCACCTAACATAGGTGCTGGGAACTGACCTCAGGTCCTCCAAGAGCAGCAAGCCTTCTTAGCCACTGAACCATCTCTCCAGCCTTTGGTTTGTAAAATTTTACAAAGATAAAAAAAGTTTCTGCACTTTTTATGTTGAAAACAAAGCATGACTCCCCAAAATGTGTATCTGTCACTTATGCAATAGAGGGTTTAGCCCATCTTACTCACTGATAGAGTAACTCATAAACACTGTCTCTGTCAGCTGTATCTCTATATAGTTGTAAAGTTGTGAAGAATAAACATTCATTCCATTATATATTGCTGTAATAAGAGCGGCGGGCTACGTTCCTGGCACCCGGCTGCCTGCACGGCTATCTTTATACCCGAAATAATTACACGGAAACTGTATTCTTTTAAACACTGCTTGGCCCATTAGCTCTAGCCTCTTATTGGCTAGCTCTTACATATTGATCTAACCCATTTTTAATAATCTGTGTAGCCCACGAGGTAGCTTACCAGGGAGGATCTTAACCTGTGTCTGTGTCTGGCAGGAGAATCATGGCGACTCCTTGACTCAGCTTCTTTCTCCCAGCATTCTGTTCTGTCTACTCTGCCTACCTAATTTTTTGTCCTATCAGAGGCCAAGCAGTTTCTTTATTACTTAACCAATAAAACAACAGATAGAAAGATGACCCTCCTCCATCAATATACGAATAGTGAAGTTATTGCAATTTTTGTTATTATTCTATTTTGTCTAACCATGTGTAAAATCATGACAATTAATTTCCTATTGGCTAATGGCAAAAATCTAATAGCTAACAAAGCATTAATTGAATTGGTGATGGAAATACCTATATGCCATTATTGGGAATGTTTTTGTTTTACTCTGGAGAGACAGGAGAGATTATTTTGTTTTCAGTAATGGAAACTGAGCCCCATGTCTCATGTATGCCAAGTATGCATTCTGTCCTTGAGCCACAACTCTGATTCCTTTGGAGGAAACAGACATTAATTATGGAAATAGCATTGGTATTTCCCCCCCCCAAAAAAAATCATAGAACTGTCTGTGATTCAGAAATCCCAATACCAGGTACATTCCCAATAAATTTGAAATAATTATGTCAAAGACATAACTATATTCTCACAAAAGGGACAACTAAATTAAAGAGGTCTTTTTTTGTGTTGGTGACACAAGATAATACATTGCATGCTTAAAATTTCTCAGAGTAATTTTAAGTGTTTGTACCACCAAAATATACATGAATAATCTATGTTAAGTGACTTAATTATCTATTCATATATCATACATAGTGTATTCATACATCAAAACGTAAGGGTATAACTTTATATACAAATACATACTATTTTGCTTATAAATAAAAAAAATATTACTTCATATGGAGACTTATACCTGTGGAGATTAAATTGCTGCCTCTCAGATTCAAATCTACTATTTTATACCCTGATTTTGGTGTTGAACTACAGTTCTATTTGGCCAGATACCTCTGAGTTAAACTCTGTTTAAGCAAAAAAACAAACAAAAGCTGAAGGTATTGTTTCTATAGAGATCAACTAGACAGCAGTGAGTCCCACAGTGCTCAGACTACAGTCTTTAAAAACCATTTCCCACTAAAGGGAAACAGGGCTTCCTGGAGAATTGGCAGGTGCTAGGTCTGGGAAATACATCGGACAAAACGACTGAGAGACGGAAGCAATTAAAGGTGACTGTGACATCAAAAGGACTCAGGAGCCAACCTGAAAGCAGTCCCACTGAGTAAGACTAGATTAATTTAAGCATCGGTCAAAATGATGGTGCAGCTATTTGAAGCCAACATGCCTAGATTCATGAGTTCATCCGCCCAAGAAAAGCACACTGGTCTCTTCCAAAACTCATAGGGATCCAGCTTATTATTCTGAAAACTAGCAGTATATAAGTAAATATGATTGATGAGAATGATAAGATGTTTATTTTGTCTTTTCTAGAAGAATTAGACCTAAAGGGAACCAAGTAGTTAATAAAAAGCTAAGAACCAAGTAGCTAATAAAGATACTCAAGTATTGACGAAGAAAGAAATAAAATTCAGATGCCCATCAAGGTTTGGTATTTTCTCCTCTTGCAGTTGATAAAACCTGCCATTATTTCATGAATCTTGAAGAAGGTGCAAGGTGTCTGAGTCCTGGGAGTCTCCACAAGAAGATACAGAAAGCAGCAGGGACATCCTGTTGCTCCGGCTCTCTTTGCCTGTGATGCAGCGGTGGGATCTAGCAGGGACATCCTGTTGCTCTGGCTCTCTTTGCCTGTGATGCAGCGGTGGAATCTAGGAGAACACAACACATGCAATGGCTCTGTGTCTCAGCAGGAAGCACTGAGGTGACCACGCTTAACTTGGCCGAAGGAATCACGCAGCTGTGACTAGAGTAGATCAGGAGGGGTGAAGAATAAGGATAATCTCACTGGCGTGGGTCCAGGTAATCCCAGAGAACCTAATTATAAAAGGACAACAAGAGAGCCAGAGCTGGAGAAGATGTAGAGAGAGCGAGGTCAGAGGTGATGGCCACTTCTGGCTTTGAAGGTGGAGGAAGGGGCCACAGCAAAGAACACACAGGGTTCTTGGCGGCAGGAAAAGGAAAGGGAGTGGATTCTCACTGCACACTCTCGGTGGAATACAGTTCCAGCAACAATTTGGCCTCAGCCCACTGGTCCCATTTCACATTTCCATTGCATAGCACATAAGACAAAAATTAGTAGTGTTCTGACTTTCTAGACAACTGGTAATTCATTATAGCTCTAAGAGGAAACTACTATAAAGAAGCAAGAGGATTTTTTTTTAATTTTCGAATAATCACGTGTCTTGTCCCTTAACCCAGGAAATGTCAAGGGAAGTAGGTCATTGTTGCGAACTCAGCAGTATATCCAGCCAGATGTCCACCGTCTACATGTCACATGACGCTTTCTGTTTTATTTTGGTTTCATTTTTGGTTTTTCGAGACAGGGTTTCTCTGTGTAGCCCTGGCTGTCCTGGAACCCCCTTTGTAGACCAGGCTGGCCTCAAACTCACAGAATCCACCTGCCTCTGCCTTCTGAGTGCTGGGACTAAAGGTGTGTGCCACCACCGCCTGGCTAGGAAGAAGATTTTCAAACCTTATAAATATTGTCATAGTTAACTTTTGTCCACATGACATAAACCTAGACATAGCTGGGAAGAAGTCATCTCAGATGAGAAATCCCTCCCATCCGATAGGCCTGGGGACAGGTCTCTGGGTCATATTCAGGATTGTTGATTGATGTGGTAGGGCCCAGACCCCTATGGGCAGTGCAATTCGTAGGCATAAGAGAGGTAGGTGAGCAAGGCTGAGAAGCAGGTCCGTAAGCAGCATTTCTCCCTGGTTCTCCCTAGACACGTGATTATTCAAAAATTTAAAAAAAAAATCCTTTGCCTCCTTATAGTAGCTTCTTCTTAGAGCTAGAATGGATTACCAGTCATCTGATCTCCTTCATGGACTGTGTCATGGAAGTGTGAGCCAAGTAAAGCCTCTCCTCCCCACGTTGCTTTTAGTCAGTGCTCTATCATAGCAACAGAAGCCAACTAGGACAGAACTTCCAGCAGAAAATTTAACGACTTCTTAGAAATGTCAAACTAAACAGGGAAATAAGACAACAGATTATTAAAAATATCCCAGAGAAATCAACCTTCAGAGAAGGGAGATTTAGACCAACAGAAGACTTCTCAACAAACACTATGGTAGCTAGAAGGTCTGGCCACTTTGAAGAGCTGGGGAAAAAAAATAATTGGGGACAGGGTTATAGTTCGGTCTGTAGAGCGCTTGCCTAGCACCCATGAGGCCCTGGGTGTGATCCCTGGCAGTACAGGCCTGTGATTCCGACACTCGGGAAGTAGATGCAGGACTGGAAGTTCAAAGTCATCCTCAGCTACACATTGAGCGCAACGTTAGCTAGCCTGAGTTAATCCTGTGGAAACAGAAAAAAGGAAGGAGTGGAGGGAGAACAAAGATGGGCAGAGGAAAGAAGGAGGAAGGGAATTACTCCTCAAAGGAACCCCGTGAAAGACTGTCAGCAGTGAACAGCTATTAGAGAAAATATTAAGAAATATTATTAACCACATAGGAGCCAAGAACCTCCGAAGGGAGCTGGGCATGAAGGAAGAACAAAGCTAGACAGTATATGCGTAAGTCTTAATAAGTATTAAGCACATAAAACAATAATAATGCCTTGAAGAGTTAGCATCTAAGGGCATAACATACCAGGCAATGATGGCACAGAAATGAAAAGGGGAATAGAGTGGTTAGGATGTGGCACGAACCAGGTATTATCAGAAAAAAGTAAAAGTCACAATCAACGTTAGATTTTGATAGGTCAAAGAAGAACACTGCCCAAGCTTGGGTAAACATTAAAATGGTAAACAAAGGACGCGGGGAAGATAATAACAGCAATAACTCTCCCAGTTACTAATTAATGTAGTCATAATCATTTAGGGACCCACAAAACCAAGCTCTTAGCAAAGTCAACTTGCTGAGTAAATGTTTTTATCTCTAGTCTGACCTTTGGGACAGTCAGTGAACACAGTCTTCAGGGACAGAAAGTTCATTAATCTGTTAATATTTATTCTTTTAAAACAAGATTTATTTTAGTGCGTACATACATGCGTGCATACATGTGTGCATGCATGCGTATATATTTGAGTGAGATGTGTCCATTAAGGCCAGAGATGTTGGAGTAGCTGGAGTTACAGGACTTTGTGAGCCACTCGACATAGCGCTAGGAACTGGACTCAGGTCATGTGCAAAAGCAGCATACACTCCTTTTTTAATATTATTAAAAATTTCCACCTCCTCCCCTCCTCCCATTTCCCTCCCACTTCCTCTCTCCCTCCCTCTCCAGTCCTAAGTATACACTCTTAAGCATCCCCCCAGCTCCCATTAACGTTTTTTGCTGCTAAAACTACACTCGGCTTTTCCGCATGACAATGTGTTTACCGCATGTTCACATTCCGTCAGCAGAGGGCAGCAGATGACCGTGCTGCTGTTCACTCAATCTTGGTGCCTTCATGGTTGAACTTGGAATAGACGAGATGTTTTAGTCTGTATTGCACTTGTTACTTCTTGTCACCAAGAATGGGAGGAGAACGATGAAAAGGTCCTTCCGTGTCAAAAATCACTCTGCTAACTGAGCTGCACGACCAGCCCCCAACTATTTTTATCCCAGCGCTTAAACCTACATGTGGAAGCCATTTTTCACGAGCTGGAAATAGAAATGCGCCAGGTAAGCAACAAATTTGCCGGGTTTTCTCTTTTCATTTGTCAATGCTACCAAATTATGTCATTGGAAACATAAATCAGCAGCAGCTGCCTTGGGTCATGGCATTGTATCTCCGTGCCTGGATAGATTTGGTAGATCAATCATGACATTTTCCTATTGACATTGGTCCTAACATGGGGTTTCCCCCTTTACCTTTATAAACTACCATTTGCCTATGGCCCATGCCTGTCTCCTCTCTATTCAGAGACAGTCCTTTGTCCCTCCAGGACAAATACTCCTACCCTCTTCCCATTGTCCCCGTCCGCTTCTCCCCCATCCTCAGTCTCCTCTACCACAGCATCCTAGGTCATTCTAACACAGACCTCCCCTCTTTTTTCTGCCCTTCAAATTTACACTTACAAGGTCATTTTCTGCTGTTTCTCTGCCACAGTTAGAAAGCAGCCACTTTAACTTTCTTCCTTGATTAATATCACTGTGTTGGAGTCCCCTTCAACTACTGTATAGACTGGCCAGACAGTTGCAAAGGACCAACTCTTCCCCCATGGACACCTGGCTAGAGTTTAAGCACGGTTAAAGATCAATATTACGACTTTATCGCAAGCACATTTCAAATGCTTACTTTCCCTTAAGTAAAGCTGTTAAGGGCCAGAAAGCTTTGATCTTTAGACTGACAGCTATCAAACATGTTCCTTGTACCCATTTGCCCTGGGTGGGGATCTACCTACCAAGCAACTCATCTCGGCAACTGACAGGCTATCCTCGAGGCATTATGGCTGCTTTAAATGTACCATAGATGCCACGGGGAAACGCTGAGACACTATTCCTGGGCAGATGGGAACAAATGCCTACTCACGCCAGACAGGAAACTGATGAGAGACCAAAGGGCAGATACCGTCAAAGTCCAACTTGGTGAACCAATTAGTTTTATTTGTGTCACATACAAAGATATGTGAGCAAAAATGGCTCAAAGACAGCTGCATCACCAAAACCCACCCTCGCATGGATGACAACTCACAAAAGCAAGAGTCCTGGAACACAGTGCACAGCCTACAAGCAATTCCAAGGTTTGGAGAGTGTCATTTCTAGGTGGCACGGCTGGTCTGAATCTCTTGCAGGCAGCTCTGCTGGTCTTTGCTTCTTCCAGGCAGCTTGGCTTGTCTGAGAATGACTCAGAACAGTTTTTACTGCTAATATATTCTGGTGTATGTGTGTCTATGTGTGAGAATCTGCTCACTTTCAGGGACTTCCTGAAGCTGTTCTGAGTTGTCTACTACCTGTCTTAAGCAGCTCCCTTCCAGAGTGGAGTATTTCATCTCCCTGTAATTATCCTGTTGTTTCGCCTTCCCTTCTGTAGCTTGTATCTTAAGAAGTTACTCTCCAAAGTGCAAGGTTAGGGAGACACAGCTCCTCAGTCGGTAACTATTCCCCAGCTGCAAGGAGTGCTGCAACCATTGGCTGTTGTTGAAGTTACAATTTCTGCCCTGGGAGGCCCTGCTCCCGTCATGATCTCTTCAGCAAACCACACTGGCTTTGGAAGACTCTGCAAGACAGAGCCAGTAAACCCTAGATGATCCTGCTCACTGGGAAGCTATTCTTTTTCAGACTACAGTAACTCTTTACTGACTCCAGAAGAAAAATAAACTGTGGTTGGTGCAATGTGAGGCTTGTGATTTGTTCGTAAGTGATGCTTGTCATTTTGTCTATATAGCACTCGTGATTGGTAGAACTATGCCCTTGTGGGGCTGTAACTGGTGGGATTACAGTCCATACACAAGCATGCTCCTCTTCTGGCTATGCAAGCAGACTGTTTTCCCCTAATTGTCTCATTAGTCTGGAAGGATTCTCTCCTGTGTACTGCCTCCTGGGATTGTGATATTAGGCGCAGTAACAGCACCTCATAAATAATCTCTTGCCTACTTAGAGCCTTCATCAGCCTGTGCAGAGGGAGGCTAAGACTTCGAAACATCCATATCTGATGGCAAAGGCAGGAGCACTGGCATCGGCAGAGAGGAGGTAGGTGAAGAATCCCAGAGAGTCCCCATGAGCCAGGGGACTCAGCCGAAGCTCAGAGCACTAACACAGAAGGCAGTTAAGAGCTCCAGAGCCCTCCAAGAGCTCTGAGCCATAACACTAGAGAGTGGCTAAAAAGGGTTACAGGTCAGGGAGGCACTGCAAAGCTTGGGCTCTTTGACAGCAATTCCTTACACCGAAATTCAAGAGTTATAGTCTACCTACTGTTTGCTGGGCACTCTACATCCTGAGCAACGGGCCTCTGCCTTGAGAACCTGAAGCAATAATAAGCCTCCAGCTTTGACAGCTTGGAACTGAAACCCAGCCTATGAGTTCCTGGAACTCGGGGCCTTCAACACTAAGGGAGCAACCTAGAGCAGCGGAACACCCATCTCTGGCCAGGTGTTTGTCATTAGTTCCTAGTCATTCACTCTATATGTTGCTCATTCAAGCAATACTACAAATTAACTTTATACATAGAAATTGTGCCTTTCTGAGTAAGCCACAGAAGTGTTGAGGTCCTATTTCTACAGAGTATTCCTGATGTTCACTTCCCAAGTCTTGTCCAAGTAAAAAAACAGGGAAACCGTCTTTTTCAAGGGTTGGGCATGGTGGGGGCACACCTGCAATCCCAGCGCTGGAAAGGTGGGTGAGTGCAGGGAATTCAAGGTCACACTGAGTTCCAACAAACAGTGAGCTCGAAGTCCGCCTTGGCCCCATAGGATTCTTTCTCAATACTATACCAAAAACCCAAGACCACTAAAATCCCACGAAGAACCCTAAACTAAACAAGAATTGGGGTGGGAACAAAAAATGAAGGACAAGGGAGAGGGGCGGAACTGGAGACAGGGAGATAATTGATTATGTAGTGTACTGAAGCACTCAGAAAATGAAGTCTGTAGTGACCGCCAGGCTTTTAAACGAAAGGCGGAGAAAGGATACCTTTCTTCTTCTGACTCCCTGCGCCAGTCAGGCAATTACACATTACACCCTGCGCCACGTGAGCGACAGTCAGCCTTCTCCACGCTCCCAACAAGGAAAAGCCTACAAGTCGGCTAAGCACTTCCTGGGACTGAGCCACTAACAAAGCAGCTCGCCGCCGCAGGTCCAGTTTCTCCCGCCTATGGGGCGGAGCCGGGAGGATCTATGGCCAAAGCTCCTAGGCCTTCAGCTTCAGGACCTCGGGCCTGGGCTGTGCGGAGCGGAGTGGAGCAGGTCCTAGGCTCTGCCCCCGCCCGGGGCCCAGATTCTCGGGATCAGAGAACTGGGCTGGGCGGGCCCAGGCTCCGCTAATCACCCTCAGCACACAGGACCGGCCTTCGGGGCGGGGTAGATCCCCGGCCCCGCCCCTCGATCATGGCCTGTCTTCGGGCTCTGGAAAGAAGAGGTGTCCCAGGCTCTGCCCCTTGGTCTCAGCTTCAAGTTCAGGCCCTTGGGGCGGGATAGGTCGTAGACTTCGCCCCTCCTCCTTGTCCCTTAAGGTTCCGAAGGGTGGTGGTCCAGGCTCCTCCTGAGAGGGAGGAGGTGTTCGGACCCCGCCCCCTCTGGGCGTGGCGAGACCCAGGCCCCGCCCCTCGGCTGCTGCAGCTGGTTCCGGCCCGCTCACTCACGGTCCCGCCTCGCTGCAGGAGCGTCCGGAGGACCGCTCAACGGGAGGAGCGCCGAGTCGGCCTGGGTCCCTTGGTAGCAGCCGGCTGTGTGATCGCGGAGCCCCTCTGTGAGCGGTGAGTACCACGCGGGCCCGGAGCGTCCGTGCAGGCCTTTTCACGTTGTAGACCGCGGGGACAGAGGACGAGCTGGGGGAGGCCGCGGAGCTCGTTCCTGGGGTGACCTCTCCGCCCGCTCCTCAGCCTGCGTCGCTTTGGACTGGGAGTGGCTCTCTCGGCGCCTCGCGCCTCGGGAGTTCTCGCCTTGGCTGTGCAAGCCGCGCCGGGGAGTCTGCCAGGCCCGGCCTACGGGATAAAGAAGGCTGCTTGTGCCGGCAGATGAGGGAGTACCCAAGAGGGGACAGTGAGGGCGAGAGACCCCCTCAGTGGAATGGTTGAGCTCAGAACTTAAGGTGATTGATTGAGAAACCCGAGGAGAACGGGACTGTACTAGTCGGCCAGGCCGGTACACGAGAACCGCACATCTCCCTGCAGCATGCTTGACAGCCTCTAAGCAGAAGTTGCTGAACTTTTGGACTTAGGACTTTTTGCGCACTTAACAGAACCTTTGTTATATGGGTTGTACCTATTGATGATTGCTATGTATAAATAAAACTTACAGACACTTAGTATGCTTAATAATTCAGAACATAACACTTTCTAAAATCCTGTATTTTCCAAAACCAAGTTATGACGAATAACATTGTTTTACATTGTTTTACATTTCAACAAATCTCTGCTTAGAAGAAGACAGGTGATTTTTTCCCCCCGAGACAGGGTTCCTCTGTGTAACAACTCTAGTCGTCCTGGCACTCACTCTCCTTGTAAACCAGACTGGTCTCGAACTCACCTAGACCGGCCTGCCTCTGCCTCCGGAGTGCCACCACCCTGCCGACAGGTGGATTCTTATATCTGTCTGCTTCTGCTTTCAGTCTTTTTTTTTTAATTTATTTATTTATTATGTGTACAGCATTCCTTCCATGTGTGCCTGCAAGCCAGAAGGGGGCGCCAGGTCTCATTATAGATGGCTATGAGCCACCATGTGGTTGCTGGGAATTGAACTCAGGACCTCTGGAAGAGCAGTCAGTGCTCTTAACCACTGAACCATCTCTCCAGCCCTGCTTTCAGTCTTTTGCAGTGTGGTTTGTCATGTGGCTACTGGAGACTTTCAAGTATCCTCCTGAAAGTGTAGCATCTCTGTTTAGTTTGGAAGTGTTGCTGGCCCTGCCGATCCCTAGGTGTTCTGTGCCCCACACGTCGAGGTAGCGAGTGCTTGGGAGGCATAGTTCACTAGGTTCATTACCTTGTTTATGACCCTTCCACCCAGCACCATGGAGAGTGTTCAGTGTTCCATCTCTGATATTCAGGGCCACTCTTGGCCTCACTTTGGAACTAAGTACTGGATCCCCACACCTGATGGTGGCTGCCGACTTTTGCAAACTCAGTAATGTTCATGCGTGCCTTGGTTGTTTCTGTGCCTGTGGAGTTGACCCATGTGAGCATCAGGACTGCAGGATGTGGCAAACAGGACCTGTGGGTTCTCAGAAGTGTGTGTAGAGAGACCGTGCCAAATGTATAGGGGTTGGTGTAAGATTACCAAGTAGTTGAGAGGTCATTTTTAAAATATCAGCATAGTGAGCTGGGCAGTGGTGACGCACACCTTTAATCCCAGGAGGCAGGAGGCAGAGAGGCAGGAGGATCTCTCTGAGTTTGAGACCAGATACTAGGTATGGGTTGTGTTATTCAAGTCTTCCAAAATGTTTGCTAGAGAAAAACAAAAAATCCTGTGTTTCGAATATGCTAATATGGATCAGCAGATTTCTTGTGTAAAGGAGCAGACAGCAAAAATTACAACCATGCAGTTCTCATATTGCTGTGTGTAAGGAGCCATAGGCAATATGTCAGGCCAGCTCTGATCCACCAGGGCTACACAGAGAAACCCTGTCTCGAAAAATCTAAATAAATAAATAAATAAATAACTAGACAGACAGGATGGCGTGCTTTTGCTCCCCTCCCCCGCTGTGCTCAGTTCTGTTTGTGGTTTCTAGACTTCGATTTCTTGAGCTATGCTTCCCAGTCTTTGAGTTCTTTCATTTCCATGTTCCTGGCTATCACTGTGAGTGGTCCTCTGTGGTTTTTCGTTAAATTCGTGACTGCGCCTTAAGCCAAC